ACTGATTTTGAATGTCTGGCCTCCAGAACCATGAGAGAGTAAATTTCTGTTGTTTTAAGCCATCCAGGTAGTGACAATTTGTTACAGTGGCCATAAGGGACAAGTGCAGTTCCATTGCCTGCTTTCATGGTGAGAGTGCTAATCTTGAGAAACTTTTAGTCAAGGCTTCTTTGACAAGTAAATAAAACAGTTTGGAAGGCAATAGGACTGAGAGGCATTTGATTTATTTATTTGGAAAGATGAAGGTAGAAGTGCCATTTGCCTTGATGTTTACTTCGTTAACTGACTTCTTTCTGGCTTTGTGGCTTCTGGTTCTGATTTTGCATTTTATTAATTAGCCAAATGTTAATAAATGACACATATGTTTGTAAAAAGCGTTGTAATAGGAATAATTAGGTGAGGATATAGTTTCATAATGACTTACCTTGATTTCAAGGCACTTTTTGAAATTTTCTGAACTAAAATAAATAAAGGAATTTGAATGTACAATTATGATTGTATAATAGGTTTTAGATCTAGAATAATGAATGTAAGTCATTAATTGAAAGTTAATTGGTAACATTGGCAAAGTTTATCCTGTATTTTGGGGATTGCATGCTTCAGCTGATACCTAGTGTACAATTGGGATTTATTCGCACCACACCTCTGGGTCTGATAGTGTATTAAGTTATGAAGAATATTAATATTGCTGCAGAACAATTACTTGTTCATTTGCTAGCTGATTAAAATTCATGCATAATTTATTGAAATGAATAGAGATTTTATAAATAAGCCTCCTTGTTCTCAAGGGCCTAAAAACAAAATACATATGCTAATATGAGGCTACTCTTCACTTCCAACATAAAAAAAAATTAATATGTAGTGGTATATTAGTGTCATTAATGCTAGATTTCACTTCTAGTCATGCTGTTAATCAAGGTATATGCTTCTAAGTCTCTCTGAACATTGTCACAGTTCCAAATTTGAGCTACTGCTTTGATGACTGGACTACCCCTTTTGTTTGTTTGACCATAGCAAGTGAGATGTAAAAGTGATCAGGGTGAATTATTACCCTTCTTCAGGCTAAGCATCTGATTATATCAAAGTCATTTCTTCATGTACACAAAACACTGGTGATGAATATTAATTTTTGGTTTTAAGATTCATATGCTCTCTGGAAAAACAAAGCAAAATAAAGCCAATATGGGGCTTGTTGTCACATTAGGAATGTAAAGTCTTTAACAGTTCTTGAAATAATACCTGGTTCACCAATGAAGAAATTGTAATGTCAAGAAGTTAAATAACACGTTCACATTTACCCAGCTATTCATGTGTGCATTTTGTGAACCTAGAATCTCCTGACTTCAAATTTCATTTTCTTTTACATGTCATTTCCTTAAAGATAGAAATGACAGAAGGAATATTATGTTTTACTTTTTCACTTGTTTCTAATAATATGTTTTGTTGTCGCTTTTTTCCCTCTCGTTTCTCTCCCTTCTGCTCTCCTCCTCTGTTTGCTTCTTATTTTCCACAGCAGTGATGTACAGAATTTGGGTGGATGAGATTTATTATTCAATATACAGTTATTAGTTCAGGTTTCAGAATACTCGTGAATTTTTTGATTAACCAAGTTTTGTTATTCATAATTCATTTGACAAATCACTCCAACATGTTAAATATGAGACCTCTTCAGGTTGTCGTTCCGCTGTGATGTATGTGAGGCATTGCGGCTTTGGGTTAGAACCCTAGTAAGCTGTGGATTTAGCTTCATTTACTACTTAAATTAGTCAATATATGAGCCATCTGGAATGAAAACAAACATTGCACATATGAAGCAGTTCAGTTTATTTGCAAAGTACAGACTGCTTCTTAAAATATGTGCAGCATTGAGATAGTCTGGGAAGATATTTGCATTTCTTCCATTATGCTCATTTCTCTAGTCAGTTTCATTTTAGTTCAAGGTTTAGAAAATATATCAACTTTCTCTTTCAGTCTACTAAGACTTTTATAAACTTGAAATATACAAGTCATTAGTTTAGTGGGTAAAATTTCATGATATGAAATGTCGAGCTTTGTCTTTCTTTAGCAGATAAATGAAAATTCCAAGCTATTTTGGTTTTATTTAAACTTCTTATTTTGTGAGTAGCTTCTCAGTTAAAGTCCATTGTGAAACTTGGAAGAGTTCGCCCTCTACACAATTGTGACTCTTATTGTTGAAACAATTCTTAAATCATAAAGAACAGATACTGTAAAGTTTGTAAAGAACTGCTTTTTTCGTAGAGATAGAAATAATTCCACATGTAAATTTTATATACTACATACATTATCTTATATAATCTTAGTTTTGTTTTCACTTGAAACATGCGCATCATGAAAGCGCAAGCTCCTATGGTTCTACCGATAAGGAGTTTGAAAGCTGTTGTAATAATGAGCCCTGATTACTGATGGGACTAACTTAACATGCCTCAAATATTTTTGGATAGAAAAAAAAGAAAATTGGTGTTACTCAGTAGGCATATCCGCCCATGTTGTGATTTTTTCAATTTTTTAATTTTTATTTGAGCATAGTTGGCACACGATGCTACCTTAGTTCAGGCATACAAAGTAGTGATTCCACAAGTCTCTACTGCACTTTATGCTCTGCTCACCCCGAGTGTAGCGACCGTCTCTCACCATACGATGCTATTACAATACCGTTGTATCTGTTTTCTATGTAAGTCTCATTTTAAAATAATGAACTTGTTGATTTATTGTTGCTATGTCTCCCTTCCCATCTTATATGAATAACCAATGTATAGAACAGACTAACAATTAGTAGTTTACTCAGTAAATTTGTGTCATGAATTTTGGAGGAACATTATGGAAAGTGACTTTAGTATGGTTAGAGATCTAGGCCAGCTAGTCTTATTCCTTATGTTAGGGATGTTTGTAACTCAGGGGTTCATAAAATGGAAACTGTACTTTTTTATACTCTTAGCGTTTAAAAGCAAATCCTGGGCTATAGCTGAAAACCCTTGCTTCATTTAAACCTGTGCCAGAAGGTAAAACCTGTCTATGAGGGGTTTTTTGGTTTGGTTTTGTTTTTGTTTTTGTTTTTTGCATTGTATATTATTCCAAGTATGTGTTGCCATTAAAATAGAAAATCCAGTTTGAAAGATATTGGCTGTCTTTTCATAATTTCCTTCTATCTGCATCTTCTCCAGTCCAGCCCTACTGAGAGGAAGGAGGAAGCGATGTGTGGTTGCATTTAATAGCTTTCCTGCGGGGTACCGGGCTGGTTCAGTTGGTGGAGTGTGCGATCTTGATCTTAGGGTTGTGAGTTTGAGCCCCACATTGGGTGTAGAGATTACTTAAAAATAAAATCTTAAAGGGGCACCTGGGTGGCTCAGTCGTTAAACGTCTGCCTTTGGCTCAGGTCATGGTCCCAGGATCCTGGGATCAAGCCCCGCACCGGGCTCCCTGTTCAGCAGGAAGCCTGCTTTTCCCACTCCCCCTGCTTGTGTTCCCTCTCTCTCTGTGTCTCTCTCTGTCAAATAAATATATAAAATCTTTAAAAAAAAATCTTAAAAAAATTTCTTTCATATAATTTGCTTTAACTCTTAAAACACACACATTTAAAAATAATTAATCAACTTTATTTCTTAGATTTTAGGTTTATATGAAAATTGAACAGAAAATACAGAAAGTTACTATATATTTCTTACCTTGCCAACAGTTACCCCTATTTTTTTGTTTCAAGTTTTTATTTAAATTCTGGTTAGTTAACATATGGTGTAATACTGGTTTCAGGAGTAGAATTTAGCAACTCATCACTTACATATAACACCTAGTGCTCATCACAAGGGCCCTCCTAATACCTGTCACCCACTAGCCCATCCCCCACGCACCTCCCCTCCAGCAACCCTGTTTGTTCTCTACAGTTAAGAGTCTCTTATGATTTGCCTCCCTCTCTTTTTTCCCCCTTCCCATATGTTCATCGTTTCTTAAATTCTACATATGAGCACACAAGGCTTTAAAACAATATTTGGGCAGTTACCACTTTATGAAGATTAACACTTTATTTTAAAGTCTTTTGGCTTCCCTGAGAAGTGTTGTTCAAGAGATTCAAAGAAGAATCTGATCACAATGTACTAATTAGAGCATCTTCATGACATAGGATTCCCTGTGGACAGACCACATGGACAGAGCTAGAGCGGTGGAATCCTTCATAAAGTCCAGTATCAAATTCAGCTACATCATTGTTAAATGAAAAATAAATGGGGGGGGGACCCTAATTCATCTTTCATTGTTTCTGTAAGTTCAAACATTACAATAATGTTTGCCAAAGTTTCTTAGTGTACCTTTGACATTTGAATTTAATGTTTGATTCATTGCCTTATCACATGCTACTCCCAAAGGCTAGTGATATGTAATGACTTGTGATTTTACCTCGGTGTGAATTTTAATTTCTTATATTCTGTGGTGGGTGTGTAGAAACAAGTCAGCACTTGGCGTCAGCTTCTAAGTTCAGGTTTGCTGTTCCTTCCTCTTTTTCTCATCTGCAGGAACTCCGCCAAAGTGGAAAACAAAGCAAAACCAAAACCATTGCTTCGCCATATTTCATGAGTGGAATAAGGAGTTATAACAGTATTCATTAATTTGGAGATTTGTAGAGGTCTTAGGACCTCGAGAATGTCAAAGATCAACTGTACTCTGTTAGTAGCTAATCAGAGCTATCCATCTTTAAATACTTTCCTTTATTTCCCTTGGTTACTGTGCCTGTACAAGTTTATCTCCTGGAGAGACGTGTTTTTAATAAAAGAAAACTTGTGGTAAAAAGGGTCGTGTCCCATCGGTGAAAGTACTGCTTTTTAAAAGTACAGTTTGCAGATCACTCATGTACTCGTTTTAAGTATTTATTGTGTACTCCTAAGTAAATTATTCATTAAACCTTTCAGCTTTGAGACACATTAATATATTTTTGTATTTTATTTAGTCTTTTGGATTTTTAACTAATTAGGTTGCACCTTCATCTCTCCTAGAACCACCAAGACCCATTGCTCCTCCCCAGCTGCTCGGTGTTGGGCCTACATATTTGCTGATTCAGCTAAATGCCAACTCCATCATTGGTGATGGTCCCATCATTCTGAAAGAAGTGGAGTACCGAATGACATCAGGATCCTGGACAGAAACGCATGCAGTCAATGCTCCAACTTATAAATTATGGCATTTGGACCCAGATACTGAATACGAGATCCGTGTTCTACTTACAAGACCTGGTGAAGGTGGAACGGGGCTCCCAGGACCTCCACTAATTACCAGAACCAAATGTGCAGGTAAGACTGAATAGCAGGCCACTCTGCCTCATGAAGGGATCGAGCATTAGGCATATAGTGTACATGCACTATTAGACGTTCTAATTATTTTGCACATGATGTAGTCACCCTAAGAATTCCACTGAATTCCGTAAATTGTAGCTTTATGTCATAATTGGACTGATTTAAGAGCAATGTCTTTCTCTGTTATTATTCAGTATTATGATGAATTCATAATATTTTCTTGTGTGGCAATTTTGCTCAGCTTGCTTGTGTTCAGTCCAAAATCTGTGACAGATACTGGTGAAGGTACTATTACCATTGAGAGAGAAAACTTCGGCAATTCCAGCAAATGCTGAATATCTTTCGGCTATGTGGAGATTGTCTCCCTTGGTAGTATTGTTATGGGCAGAGCAGAGGCCATATCTGATAACACAGATTAAAAAGTTACTCTGAACCAGGCCTTGGTGAGATAACTCTTCTACTCAGAAAACCTGTTGTTGAGGATTAACTCAACAGCTTGACACCCAGCTGTATAATATACAGAGGCTTGTTAATTGCCCTCCCCGTGCCTGAAACAAAGTGATGAAAATAATAGCATATGGACGAAACACAAGGAAAGGATGAAAAGTAAAATAAAAAGTAATGTATAAATATATATCCCAGTTCCTAATTATAGTATGTTGTTATAATTGGAGAAATTGTTAGCTATTTATTAAAAGCCACTGAAAAGTTTAATTGTCTCAGTTATTAGAGTGCATTTTTAAGTGTATTGTTTAATTTATTATTGAAAGTAGTTTAATTTTTAGTTGAGTTGGAAGAGCCATTTTTTAACCATCAAGCATTATGTTGAAACACCTGCAGAGTTAGTGCATGGATCTATGCGTCCTGAACACTTAATGATTTAGGTTCTGAAAATTGAAAACTAAGACTGTAGGGATCTGTGAAAATGTAAATGCCTATAAAATGGCTTTTGTTTCTTGAACACGTGTTTGGCGTTTATAGTATTTCTGTTTTTACAATATTCCGGGACTACTCACCAAGAGAACTGATCTAAAATCAAAGCAAAACCCATGAAATTACCTGATAATACTGTCATCTTTAAATATTTTAAATTCCAACTCAATTTTAATATATTAATGTTTACATATAAATTTTTATATGTTTATATTGAAAGATGCTTACTAACAGGGAGTTTAACTGCTCAATTGATTTAGACAATAGAGAGTTTACTCTTTGCTGTTTGGTCTTGTACATTGATTCTGTGGTTGATAGGCAGCTTGACCTAGAAGATACTGGTTAAGTCTCCATGGCTCAGCCTAAATCACACAATTTGCTTTTTAAATTTTCTGTGCAGCTCAGTCTTCATTCTAGGTTTGTGGCAAATTATTCTGATTATAGTAGGTGACTTTTCTGAGGGAGAAGTAAGTGGACACCACAACCTCAGCTAGTCAGAGAAATAATTTGAAGAGGAGACATTGTAGAAATTAAGGAAACGCTCACTCTGTCTTCCAAAATTAAATACCCTATGTTAACATAAAAAGATGAACAATGGAGTTCATTTTACTGAGGATATTGTCTACACATGTTTTCTAATAAAACTACCTTTCCTTCTACCTTTAATCTTTATAAGGTATATACAAATTAAAATAATGAACAGTAATTTACTATTCCAGTGGTCTTCTTTTTGACTTCTCCCCCCCCCCAGTAAATGCCCCCCACTTTTTCTTCTAATTCCAGCAAGTTAACATACAGTGCAATATTAGTTTCAGGTGTAGAATTTAGTGATTCATCACTTACATACAACACCCAGTGCTCATCACAAGTGCCCTCCTTCATCCCCATCACCTATTTACACCCATCCTCCCACCCACCTCCCCTCTGCTAACCCTCAGTTTGTTTTCTATAGTTAAGAGTCTGTCTCTTGGTTTGCCTCTCTTTTTTTTCTAACCCCCATGTTCATTTGTTTTGTTACTTAAATTCCACATAAGAGTGAAATCATATGGTATCTGTCTTTCTCCAACTGACTTATTTTGCTTAGCAAAGTATTCTCTAACTCCATCCACATCATTGCAAATAGCAAGATTTCATTCTTTTTTTTTTTTTACGGCTGAGTAATATTCCATTGCATATATACCACATCTTCTTTATCCATTCATCAGTCGATAGACATTTGGGCTCTTTCCATAATTTGGCTCTTGCTGATAACTTCTTTTTGACTTCTGTGCCCAAACTTCTTTCTTTTAAATATCTCATCTGTTTTCTTATTTTTAAAAGGGTTTCATCAAAGTAGACATTAAAATTTAGCAGTACCACCCAATATATTGTTAATGTGATTTTTGTTTAACCAGGAATTACTTGAAATTGGCCATTGGTGTGTGAGCCAATGGAGACTGCATATATATGAGATTGTGTTTTAAAGCTAGTTAGGCTGTATTAAGTGGATGAGAACAGCATGTTAATGAGCATTGATTTATCCCTATTGAAGGCTTATGTTGAGAATGCATATTGACTGCAATAAGTAAAAATATGACTATAAAGTGCTTTGAGGTATTTTATTTTGAGAAAAACCTTATCTATGTGGGAGGGGATAGAGTAAAAATAACTTACACTCATAGTTGCTTTCAAGTTTATAAATGTCTTGACATTTTGGAATTATAAGTGCTCTTTTTTTTTTTCTAATTCTTTATTTGAGAAACATATAATTTGTGGGCCCTGTGGGATAAAATGGTGTCAGGGCTCACTGATACTTACAGTTTTACTTCCAACTGTAGAAAGTTTATTTGTTTTTAAAACTATCACATGTGTTGAGTCTTTGTCACATATGTTTATTCATTTATAAATGTCCTTAGAATACGTATTTGGTGCATATTTTTATGGCTAAGAAAGTGCTTAGATTTTCAAATACATTGTGGATTTGAGAGAAACTAGTTACTGTTTTATTAGGAATATCTACTAATCTTCCTCTATTATTAGAAAAGGAGGGAAAGCTTATGGAAATATATATTGTGTTAATTTTTAAATAATCTCTGAAAAGCAGAAGTTGGAGGTAATTGATAAATATTGTATATCTAAATGCAGGGCAGTATTGATGGTGAAAGTATGATGTCCATCTGCTTTACTTCAAGGTGCATACTCCTTTCTCCAAATTTAAGATCTTACCGCCTTAACCAGCACCTCCACTGGCCTCAGCCTGGTATCCTGTAACACAAAATAGAACACAACTTATGCTAACTGTGATAGTAGCTGATTTCAGAAGCCTAAAATTTTTTCACAAGCTGGTGAAATGATTCCTTTGAAATCCTAAAAGTAACCTTTGAAAAAGTTCCCATTTCATTCTATTAATTTGTGCACGCTCTGAATACTGGTTCTACATTCCATTTTAATCCAGGCTAGGAGAGTGCCACACTGTAGTTGTAGTGTTAATCTGGTTGAATAAATGCTGATTATTATGACATAGCAATATTAATACACCCTGCATGTTGACAATCAGGAAGCCTTAAAAATAAGTATAAGGACTTCTCAGCTATGTCTTTGTGTCTGATATAAATTTCACATGAATTTCTTGTAAAATAACAAAGGAATGAGGATTATTTTCTGCCTCTTAGAAATTCTTCTTTTGTTTTGGTGCATCACAGAGGAACATTCTCTGACTACTACTGAGTACCAAAGAGTGAATTTGTTACTATTTACTATGTTAAATATCCCATTTTAATGTATTTAAGCCATTAAAATTTTATTTCTGACAGTAGCAAATTTTATTTTCTTGGCAGAAATTTGTCAATAAATAATTTTACAGTAAGTTAGTCAAATGGTTTTATTTGTGTGGATTAATGAGTAAATTTTGTATTTTAAAATAGAAATGTAGATTTTCATGGTGAAGTATTGGTTATTTTTGCTTTATAATCAGCATATGAAGTGACTCTATCATGATACTTTATTTTCACACCTATGAGGTAGATATATTATTTTCCCAATTCTGTAGCTGGCGAATCTAAGACTCAGTCAAAACAAAATGAATTAAATGACTTATCTAGTGTCAGACAACTGGGCAGCTAGGACTCAAAACATATTTTCCTAGTACTTGAAAAGCTTGAATTCTTTTCCCTCTTTCTCCTAGTATGGGTGATCCCTTCCCCCTCTTTCAGAAGAATATGGCATGCCTAAATGAAAGTATAAGAGGTAAAATCTGGGAGGAATGTATATTTTTACAAAATAGTATCTGCATGGCTAACTTATTCCCTGAGAAACATAGTTTAATGCTTGCCACTTCACTTTTATTGGAAGCACAACTGATTACTGTGCTTAACACTCAAATATATGCTGTGTTTTAACTGTCTTAAACAGTTAAAGAGGTGTAAAACATTGTTTTATTTTATCCTTTTCTGAAAATGTCCTGCCTAGTTGCAAAGCTATTTTTTGTTTTGTTTTGTTTTCTTTTCTTTCTAAAGTACATTTAAATCACTTGGTAAGTGCAATTACCTGCTTTGGGGTCTCTCAAGTTAGAAGAGGTGGTAATTACAGCCTCTGGTGGCCGTGACCTCCTACACTTGCATCCTGCTTCTCTGTGCACCTGAGGGGTATGATTATTGCACTGTTATCTTACAGCCTGACCCATGTTATTGTTCATGAAATGCTTCTTCAGGCATTTTATGAATTTTAAAAAAAGGTATAAATGGGAAGTTGTTTTAAATGGGAAGTAATTCAAAAACTCCATTGAACAATCAAAGTATGCTTGTTTTTTCTCTGTGTCAGTTTCCTCTGGGTATACCATCTGGTATAGAAGCTAAGAAAATACAGTTTATTTTTCTCTTATTAAATGGAAATAAAATATACCATCATCAGAAATTGTCTTCATTGCATGCTTTGGCAACTGCATGTTAAAATTGCTCTTTTAAATTGCCTACTGCTTCTGGGTAACGCATTGTGGCACTGTTTTGTGATTAACTGACATTTTAACAACATCACTCTCATAGGGAAGGTCAAGAGTTCAGGGTGTCCAGAGCGTAATATATTTACAC